TCTCCTTTTTCAGAGTACTTTAATTTTCAACATATAGATCATTTACTTCCTTCATTAGGTTTATTTCTATGTATTTCTTTCCTTTCTCTCTCTCTTTTTTTTTTTTGATGCTATTGTGAAGGGTGTGGTTACCCTGATTTCACTCTAAATGAGTTTGCTGTCTGTGTACAGGAATGCTACTGATTTTTGAGTGTTGACTCTGTATCTAGATAAACTGATGAATTTGCTTACCAAATCTATAAGTGCTTTGGCTGAATTCTTCAGGTCTTCTATGTAGAGTATTATATCATCTGTAAATAATAATAATTTAAACTTTTGCTTTCCTATCCTTATTCCTTTTATTACTTTTTTTGTCTAATTGCTCTAGCTAGTGTCAGAAGAACTATATTGAATAGAAGTAGTGGTAGTGGACATCTTTTTCTTGTTCCTGATTTTAGAGTGAAAGTTTTCAGTTTTTGTCTAATAGTATGATGTTAGCTGTTAGTCTGCATAGATGGCTTTTATCAGATTGAGATTAAGACCACTTATCTTCCAATTTTCTGTAGAGGTTTTTTTTTTTTATCATGAATGGATGCTGGACTTTGCCAAAAGCCTTTTCTACATCTACTGAGATGATTATGTGATATTTGTCTTTGGCTCTGCTGATTTGGTATATTACATTTTTTGATTTGTGTATGCTGAACCATTTCTGCATTCCTAGGATGAATCCCACTTCATCATGGTATATAATTTTCTTGATGGTTTGCTGAATACTGTTTGCTAGTATTTTATTGAGGATTTCTGCATCCATGTCTATTAAAGAGACTGGCCCATAGTTCTCCTTTTTGGTTTGGTATTTCTCTGGCTTTGTTATCAGGGTAACAGTTGCCTCCAGGAATCAGTTAAGATTTGTGTCCCTTCCAATTTTACTAAAGAGTATGAGGAGTACTTACATTAAATCTTCTCTAAATTTCTTTGAGAATTCATATCCAATTAGGATATGGGCTTTGTTAGTAAGTTTTTAATTACATTTTTTATTTCATTAACTGATCTTGGGTTATTCAGTACGTTTATAACTTCCTGATTCAGCTTTAGCAATTTATACCTAATCTGCCCATTTATTCTGTATTTTTCATTTTAGGAGGGTAAAGATTTTCAAAGAGGTATTGATGATCAGAATTTTCAAAGGATCTGTAGTGATTTAGCCCTTTCATTCCACAATGCATGAATCTGAGCCATTTCTTACCTCTTCTGATAAGTCTGGCTAAAGGTTTATCAATTTTATTTATTGAATACTGTTTTTACTAGGATCTTACCAAGATCTTATAATATACTCAGAGGATTCAAATTTTTTTTAAAAAATTAAAACTGAAGAAGTCTGTTTTCTTATACTCCATTAATTTAGACGTTTGATTGAGTAATTTCAATAAATTGAGATCCTTGGATAAAGGGATCCAAGGGAATCCTTATTTGGGAAGAGTAAAACAAGCTAAATTTCATGTTTACATTAAGATTTTTGCAAAATGAATGAGAAATAATGTATATGTCCTTTAAGGACCAAAGCAGAGCACCTACAGCCTGAAGATGAGAAAAGCTGTATACAAACAAGGAGCAGTATGAGAAAGGGGCCGCCAGAGGATGAGGACGCCACAGGGAACTCTCCAGAGGAAAAATGGCTGCAGCAGGTGCTTCAGAAGGGCTGCATTCTAAATAAAAGGCAGCACTTTAAACAGAAGAAAACAGCAGAAAGATACAAAAAAGTCTAATTTACAAGTCACGTTTGAAGCATGGTGCCACCATGTGACTACCCCAAAGCATCAAGTGAATACAGAGGTGAGACTAAGAGCATCACGTGACAACAGATGCGTAATACCAGCCAAGAAGTAAGACTCCTACAGAATGGAGGGCCACTGACGGCTTCTGAAGAAGTGATGAATGCGACAGATGCATGATTATTTCGACTACCTGCACAGTCAATTTTCTACTACTGGGGGGAAAGAAAAAGCCAAACCCTTTCCTATGATAGCCCATCATGTTTGAAAACTATAATTCTGCTCTTCCATTAGGAGAAAGATTAAGACCGTCTGAAAGAGGGAATAAGTGAAATCAGGGAGATCAGTTAAGAAGCCATCTGCAATCGGCACAAGTTTTGATACCAACACAAAATTATGTGGTCAAGAGTCAGGTGTGAAAGAAAGGGATGGGTGTAATTTCATGTCACTACAAATTCTTCTGAGAATTGTTCTTATAAGTTGAATTTGTATCTTACTTGTTTTATGCTTCAATGTAGCTTAAATTCTAATGAGTAGCTCCAAAACAAGTGTGATACTGACATGAGAAAGTGTCATCTCAAGAACACAGGGTGATCTGGAAAAGGCTGATCGTATTTAATTAGGAGTCTTGCTACACAGCTTTCAAAGAGCATCAGTGGTTTTTCCTGTACTCTCTGAGTATTGTGAATGGTCAAAGAAGAATCCTACAAGAATCAACAGAATGCCTGTGTAAGTCATTTACTTGACTTCTTAAATCCATCTTTCCTATCAAACAGTGCTTTTCCACTGAAAAAGTCTACATCTTGAATTTTTACTTACATGTCATCAAATATGCTGCAATGAAACTCTAATGTTGCCCTCTTTATGTTAACACAAGCATATTTTCAGAATGTTTGGTTATTTCAATCTCTGATGAGACACTATGCCACTTTCATAATTACACATACTAAACATATCCTTAATATGTTCTATTGCAAGATTTTGGCAAAGCATTAAGACATAAGTAATGCTATTTTTATAAGGAAACTATTATCAAATAAACTTATTTCAAACCTTCACCTGAGTTGGCACAGGGCTGCTTCTTTATCCATTTTCTGGCCAATTAAGGTAGTAAGGTACAGTGCATCAGAGAGTGATACTAGCTAATTCATTAAAACAGTTAAGTGGATTTTAAAAATATACTTAGCCTCAAACTATTCTGTTTGTCTAAATGCAGTGGCACTTTGGTTCATGAACTGAATTCTTCACACAACTCTAGTCTCAAACCAAGTTGAGTGAGAATCAAATCAAATTACATGATTAGGTTCGATGTTGACATTATTAGAAAATTCGACTCAGTTCTCATCCAATTTGGTTTGTGACCAGAATCACGGAAAGAAAGAATTAAGCTTGTGAACTGAAATGACACTGTAATGTGTCTCATTACGTATATGTGTAATTGGTTTTATAACTGTATAATTGGTTTTGTTAAAAGGATTTAGGGTCTAAATTAATATTTATTAAAACTACAACCAGAAACACTGTCTGACCAGTACTTTGTAACACATTAGGGTCTCAGTTACTTTTCTCCCCTAGCTGAGACACAACACCTGACACCCAGAATTAAGGGAGGAAAGGTTTAGCTAGCTCACAGTTAGGGAAGGTTTCCGTCTATAATCAGCTGGCTCCAGGGCAGGATGGTGTGGCCCAGGGGCAACAGCTGAAGGCAGCAGAAGACAGCAAGGGCAACAAGAGCCAAAACAGGGAAGCAGAGAGGAAAGCAAGCCTCTTGTCGCCCCTTACACTGTAAGCAGGCTGCCGCCCTCCGGTGGATGTACCATTCACGCCATCTCTGTGTCCTTCTCTTGCACAGGATCGTGATGCTTAAAAAGTGAGGCCCCAGCCTCCCCACTGAGTCACTTAAACTCCTGAGTATCTCAAGCTGACACCATGAACACCCTAGAGCATAAGGGCATGTTCTCAACACCCTAGGACATAGAAGGCTGAGTTACATAGACACTATGTATCAACCATCACAAATCAGCAACGTGGCACATTAACATAGCTCAATAGCCACTGTGATTCAGTGCTTTTAGTATTCAATTAAAATTTTCATTATAATACTTACGTTTCTGTTAAAAGTAGAGAAAACCGAAATTCAACAAAACATACAGTGATCAAATTGTGTATCTCTAAAGCCACATATTTACCTGACATTGCCCTTGGTGTTTCTCAAAACTGTCGCAGCAAAATTCTGTGTGACGCCCACCAGGCTGATTCCATCCACCTCTACGATCTGGTCATTGACCTGGATTCTTTGAAAAAAAAAATCATCCACAGTTAATTTATCTGATAATACATGGATATTCCTGATAAGTTGGTTGATAAAACATTTAATTAGTGATAGTCATAGCTCTTCCAACATTAATCTTTTACATACAATAAGCTCCAGGTGTCTGTCAAATGTTTAATGGTTTTTAAAACTGTTTTTTGAGGGCTGGGGATACATCTCAGTAGCACAGTGCCTGCCTGGCAAACATGAGGTTCTGAGATTGATTCATGGTACTCACATTAAAAAAAAAAAACTGCTTTGAAAGGCAGACAGAAATAAGTAATGCAAGTTAGATTCACTGTACCACACATCCATATCCCTATGAAAAAAACGGATATATACAAACATATAACACATTACTCTGTTTTCTACCCTTAATTAAAATATAAACGATCTACCAGAAATATCCTTTTAGCCTAATACCTAGTTCCTTGTCTCACTTATCTTCCGAAGGAAAAAGACTCAAGAATTCTGCCTATTGTAGATGTCTACTTCAAATATGCAATACTCTATGTGGCTGTATGTACATATGCATGTGTCTGTATGGTTATACAAAAATACAGAAGTTTATTGACATGTTTTTATGCATGTATTATAATGCATATGATGCTTCAGTTAGTGAATAACACTAAATTTGTTTTGCATGTCACATTTTTGTTCATCACAGTGAAGTATTTCAAACATGAAAACATGTAGAAGGGAATTAATAAATGCTCACATACCCAATGCCCAACTTTATTGGATCTTATTTGAGTCACAGTTTACCTACTGAAAATACACTGAATAAAATTTTCAGCCCACTTCTTTGTTTCTCTTTTCCCTTCACTGTTTCCTATGTATAACTGCCATATGTGTTTCTGTGTTTAGGTTTTCTCCTGATTTTCTGAAAGAAAAATAATAAACAGAGAAGAAGTATGTGAATATATTGTATTTTTGAAAATTATGAAGTATACCTTTCAAATTTAATGAGGGACATTAGTAGAATTAAATAAGACCCACACTATAAAGAGCAGAGCATGAGGCTGTCACAGTAAGCAAGGTGCCACATGCCTCTCCCAGCAGTCCAGGAGGCTGAGGACGTGGAGCACAAGTTCAAGGCCTGCCTGAGCAATTAAATGAACACTATCTCAAAATGAAAAATGAAAAAGAAAAAAATACGGCGGTTGGTGTGTGACTCAATTCAATGGTCCTGAGTTCAATACCTAATGAGGGGGGAAAGTACTGAAACTAAACTATACACTAAGACTTGCTAACTCACATTTTCATTCTCCATTGCTTCTATTACCCATGGTCATACCATTATCTCAAAGTATCACATGGAAAGTGTAACTCTGAAGTTACATGCCATTCTCGGCAGTGCACCGTGCTCTCCAGCACATGGATCACCTGCGGTCTCTCTCAGGCACACCGCACATGCTGCCTGCCACCAGCCCCAGCAGTCCTCTCAGGCGTAAGTCTGTCAAGGCGTTCCAGTGCTTTTGTTCAGCAACTCTCACTTCATGTAATAATGGCCCCAAAGCGCTCGAGCAAGGGTGCTGACAGTTCAAAAGCACCGAAGAGAAATCATAAAATGCTTGCTTTAAATGAAAAAGTCAAAATTTTTAATTTTGTAGGAAGAAAAAAAGTATACATTTGGTGACTTGCTGCGAGCTACAGCACTATCCAGGAATATACCAGGAATCGTTCTGGCTTTGGTGTCATGCTCTAGGGTCTCCAGGGCCTGGGACTTATCCCTTACACGTGAAGGGTCAACTGTCTATACAGTTCTTCACTTTTTTGAGTAAATAAAGGTATATTTATAGAGAAACATTAAACCCACCAGCAGAATTTTAACAGTGGTCAACTCTAAACAATCTTAACACTAAACCTAGATGTATGCAGCACTTTTTTTCTTTACATTTTTCTAACTTTTCAAAACTTTTACCTATGGACACGTGACATTATAACCTTACACCTGTAAAATGCCACTGCACATGATAATTTGACAACTGATGTTAACATTTTTACACTGTAGGTAAGGAAATGATCTAGAAAGTTCTTCTTTAGGCTGAAGCATTACAATTAGCTGTTCTTTATTACTCAACATGCACATGTGTACAACAACGAAATAACCAAGCTAAATGTTCTGGATTTGAGGATCCATAATCTATAACCCAAAATTAAAAGAATATTTTCTTCAAAATGTAAGAAATGGGAAATTAAAACACACAGAATTGAGGGGCCAGGGAGATGACTCAGTACAATAAGCGCTTCCCTGGCAAGTGCAAGGGTCTGAGTTCAATCCCTGGTTCCGCAAAAAAAAAAAAAAAAGAAAGAAAAGAAAACATAGTATTGTGCAAACACAGTTTTATGTTCACACATACTTGTGCCTCAAATCAGGGGTGAGGTGAGGGTGCAAACAACAAATGCAAAATTGCTGATCACCAGCAGTCATGCTGACAAACGTTACAGGAAATCTTCAGGCATAAGACCCAAGGTACTAGGTGCAAATTCACATCTCCACAAAGGAAAGAAAAGCACTAGTAATGGCCAGGTGAAGGAACAGAAGCAATCTACAAAGCAGTCCCTACAACAGAAACAGTGGCAAAAGAAGTCCAGCTCCACTTATTGTTTGTATTCAGAGACCAAAGACTAATGTAAGGAAGAGAGACCCCAACTTAAAATGGGACCCTAAAATAAAGAGATTTTTTTAAAGTTTCAAAAGGGCCTGGGAGATAGCTTGGCAGTCTAAGAGCCTGCCTGGCAAGCACCAGGACCCAAATTCAATTGCCAGTACCACATACTGTGCCGGCCTGGTGCGGAGCCAGCCACCGAAACTGGGCGTGGGGGCAACACCTGTAATCCCAGCACTGGGGATACTGAGACAGCAGGATCACTACGTGTCTGAGCTGTGTAGCAAGACCCTGTATCAAATAATTATATAAAAATAAATAAAATGGTGACCTTACACAATTCTCATCTGGGCAGAGTACAGACAGCATAAGGGAATAAGAAGACTCAGTATTATTTATTATTTTCATTAAAAGAAAGTCTGTTTTTAAAAGATTTTTCTCATCTTAAAGGTCATCTATTACTAGGGCAAAGTTTTAAAATCTGGTACACTATAAAAAACAAAAACAAAAAACACTTTTGTTTTTTCTGAAGGACAGAAAGGGAGGGAGCCTTTGGAGTATGCTACTTGAGAGGCTTTTCAACTTATCTTTTTATAGAGGTAGACTGTGTGATTAAGCTAAAGACAAGTTTAAACTGAAAATGGGCACAAGAAGGAAGAAAGGTAAAGGAGACTGCAAAAGAATTTTCAGAAAAGGCACAGTCCAGGTCTGCTTCAGGTCTAGTCCAGGGAGCCAGCGGAGCCTTCCCCACTCCAGAGCTCCTCTGAGGAGAGGAGGCATTTGCACTCGCTATACGAGCTTCTACCCTGTGAGAGGATGACTTTCATACACCCTCCCAGAGAGTGCGAATGATGTAGCTCTCAAATCCTGAAAACAACGAAAAAACACAGGAAAAAAAAGGATTCCCAGGGATGGAAACAGGACATGTCTGCATTCCAGAGAACACAGCCTAATCAGCTCCAGGGTAGGCTGGACTTTCCAGACCTTTCCAGAAGAGCAGAGGAAGTGGCCCACTGCCACTTCATACACTGGTTTCTAGAATGGAACATATACGAATGAACCCACTAACTAGTGTGTGCACAGCCATCTCCTCCCAGCCAGCTCCTCAAGAATCTCCCCATGCTCCTGGCAGCCAGCACGGACAGCACCTTTGCCATTCCCCCTCAGCTTGATATTGCTAACATTCCTCAACTTGAAACTTAACAACCAGAAGCACCGTGTGTAAAGCTCATGAAAATATGTAAGCTGGACTACTCTAGGGTTTGTCTAACACTAATGGAGAACTATTCATTTACATGATGGTTCTGAGAAGAGGAAAACCCAACCCCACTTCACAGGTCGGTTCAACACGGAAGCAAGCATGACTGGCTTGGAGACAGCTGCAGCAACATTAATAAACTTTGCTTAAAAGACACTGTCACCAAAATGCTAGTGAAAATTTAAACATGAAAATACATATCAAATACCCATATTCCAACTCCTGAGGGGGAGACTTAGGCAAAGTATTAGATTAGAAAAGTGAAAAAAAGAACACAGAAAGGAAATCATCAATGAAGAGATTATGACAGACACAATTACAACAGTGATTTCTATACAGGGTTCCCCTGGGCTTGAGAGTCCCCAGGGGGAACAGTTGTGTCCTCAGAGAGTGAGGATGTTGGGGAATAAGCACGGGGACAGGACTCCCTATCTGTTGCACATGTTGTATTACACAAAAGAGGTCAGGAACAAGGTCCTCAACCTTTGCCTTATGGTCACCTTCATTTCCTGTTTGGTATCTCCTCCAATAAAACTGTTTTAAAATGAATGCAAAACTTGAAAATTAATTACAGAAGACCCCATCCATATCGAGTGTATTTTGAATTTGCCTCTTGAGCACAGCATTATTTATCCTTGCTAGTTATACTCCATGTGACCTACTCTAGAAACAAAAACTGAAACAAAAAAATATGTTAAGCCCAAATAAATGTTTTGAAAATGATTAAACCACAGTGATTCACCAGGCACGTGGTGTACACCTGCAATCCCGGCACTCCAGGGGCTGAGTCAGGAGGACAGCTCCAAGTTCAGGGGCAGCCTGAGCTACATAGTGAGCTCAAGGCCCATATGAATTATATAGGAAAGAGAAAGAGATCCTACTTCAAAAAGAAAGAAAGAAAGAAAGAAAGAAAGAAAGAAAGAAAGAAAGCAAGCAAGCAAGCGAAGCGAAAACTCACAAGGATTCACTCCGCTAAAAGATACTTACTGAGCACTTCCCATGATAAGACTATATATGAGAAGCACAAACGTGGAATCTTGAGGAAAGAAATTGGAAAGTGGAGAGCACAGCAGGAAAGAATAAAGAACATCTGGAGCTTTTTAACCATGCAGG